CCAGCAGCAGATTGATCGCCAACTGTTGGCACATACAACAACCATGCAAACCCTAAATTACACCAAAGAGCAGCTCCAGCAGAGGTGCGAGGCGCTGTTCACCCGTCTCGAAAAAACCCCAGGCCCTGGTGGTACACCGGCGCGCATGGGTGGAGGCGGCGGGCCAGAGCCGCTCCCTTTTACGTCCAGATTGAAGCTTGAGATGCCTAAAACCGATGGTACAGATCCGTTGGGGTGGTTGTTCAAAGAGCATGAATACTTCGTCTTCTACGGGGTTACGGACGAGGCACGCGTGCCGGCGGTATCGCTCATGCTTGACGGGCCGGCTTTGGATTGGTTTCGTTGGCGACAACGGAACAACCTTGTCCATACTTGGGCCGATTTTGTCTCCCAATTCAAGCTTCACTTTGATCCCTTGAGTTACGTGGATTATTTTGGTCTTCTCTCTAAAGTTCGTCAAACCGGGACGGTTTTGGAATATCAACAGGCTTTTGAAAAGGTGTTGGTTAATGTGACTGGTGTGGCCGAGGAAAATCTTCAATCTCTCTTCCATGCCGAGCTGAAGTCGCACATCCAACACGAGATTATGCTACACAAACCACGGTCCTTATCGGCGTCATTTGCTCTATTGCGTGGACTTCCGCCTTGCCACATCGCACATGAGGTTTTCGGGAGACCATGATAGCCAAACCCACGGCCCCTGCCCAGGCCGCCCCTCTGTTGCCCTCTCCAGGAGTGAAACCGCCGCCACCTGCCACCACTACGGCAGGTCTGCTAGTTCGACGTCTGTCCTACGCTGAGAGAAAGGCTCGTGATGCCAAAGGTCTTTGTTATAACTGCGATGAAAAATGGGTCAAAGGCCATAGTTGCGGCCGTTTTTTGCTCTTACTAGAGGATGAGAAGGACGACGAAGCTCTGTCACCAGTCGAGGATACGATGCTTTCGGCAGATGTCTCATCGCTCCATAGTTTGGTCACGGTTCACCGGTCCTTACGCCTTTCGGGTATGCTCGGTGTCGTGGTTGTGGACATCTTAATCGATGGGGGCAGCACTCATAATTTTTTCCACCCATCGCTTGTTTCTTGTGCCCAGCTACCAGTCACAGACATTCCTCCCTTCCGGGTGTATGTCGGCAACGGCAAATCCTTACTCTGTACGCGGCAATGCCTCAATGTGTCTCTTCTTTTGCAGGGTTTTCATTTTACAGTGGATGTTTATGTGTTGCCAATCCACGGACCCGATATGGTATTGGGTGTTCAATGGCTACAATTGTTGGGTCGGGTTACCCATGACTATGCAAACTTGGTAATGGAGTTCACGTGGCAGGACAAGGCCATTAGCTTGCGCGGTGATCCTATATCTCCAAAACCAGTGTCTCTGCACCACTTGAATGGCCTGTGTACCGGCCATCACATTGCCGCATGCTACGAACTCTTGATTTCACCAAAGCCGGATGGTGCGCCTGCCGAAGGGGAGCATTGGCCGACAGATTTACCGGATGACATCGAACAGGTCTTACGCCAGTATGCCTTAGTGTTTGCACAGCCGACCGGTTTACCCCCACGCCGTATGGCTGACCACCCATTCCTCCAACCGGGCACCTCCCTGGTTAACGTATGACCGTACCGTTATCCACAGTTCCAAGAAAATGAAATTGAGCGCCTTGTCCAGGAGATGCTCACCCAGGGGTTGATCTTGCCGAGTAGAAGCCCATTTTCTTACCCGGTCTTGCTCGTTAAAAAAAGATGGCACGTACCGTTTTTGTATTGATTATAGGGCCTTGAACACCGTCACAATCCCAGATCATTTTCCAATTCCTACGGAAGACGAGTTGTTCGATGAGTTGGGCGCGGCACGTTATTTTTCTAAACTGGATCCCCGTTCCGGATATCATCAGATTCGTATGCACGATCGGGATATTTACAAAATAGCCTTCCAAACTCACGAAGGGCATTATGACATCTGGGTGATGCCGTTCGGGTTAACGAATGCTCCATCCACTTTTCAGGCGTGTATGAACTGGTTGTTCGCTGCCTATTTGCACCGTTTTGTGATTGTGTTCTTCGACGACATTTTGGTTTATAGTCCGTCTCTTCCAGAACATGCCATGCATCTCCAGGTGGTCCTTAATTTGCTACACTCTCATACGTTCTTTGTGAAGCTCTCCAAATGTTCTTTTTGCACTACGAAGATTGAATACCTGGGCCATGTTATTACCGCGGGGCACCTTCATGCCGATAAAGCCAAAATCGCAGCTATGGTGGACTGGCCGGTCCCAAAGACGGTGAAACAACTCCGAGGTTTTTTGGGCTTGACAGGTTATTATCAGCGATTTATCAAGCACTATGCGCACTTGGCGGCCCCGTTGACAAATCTCCTCAAAAAAGACGCATTTGGTTGGACTGATGCGGCAACCACGACATTCAAGGGGCTGAAAACAGCCCTCACTTCCGCGCCCATATTGCGCCTGCCAGATTTTTCAAAGCTCTTCGTCGTTGACACTGATGCTTCGGGCACTGGGATCGGTGCGGTCCTTTTGCAAGATGATCACCCGATTGCCTATTTTAGCAACAAGTTGGGGCTCCGTTGGTTATCCGCGTCCACTTACTACAAGGAGTTATATGCTATCGTGGAGGTCGTGCAAAAGTGGCATCAATATTTGTTGGGCCGGGAATTTCTCATACGCATGGACCAGTGGAGCCTCCGAGAGTTGCTTCAACAGGTGATCCAGACCCCGGATCAACATTTCTATGTGCGCAAACTGTTGGGGTATCGTTTTCGCATCGAGTATAAACCGGGCCGAACCAACTGCGTGGCCGACGCCCTATCTCGCCAAGAGGCCCCCACAGAGGACGCCGCATTCTGCCACCTATCCTAGCCGTACCCAGAGATCTTGCAACGCATCTACGAGGAGAATCTGACTCAGCCAGATCTGATCTGTCTCCATGCCGAATTCCAGCGTGGGGTTTTGCAGCTACCTTTATGCCGTTATCCATGGTGTTCTCTATTATAATACACGGCTGTGTATTGGTGAAAAATCAGACATTCGGGCAAAGCTCTTACGCGAATACCACGACTCCCAGGCCGCGGGACACACAGGGGTGCATCGCACATTTCAGCGGCTGGCTTAGTCCTTTTACTAGCCGCGCATGCGCGCGGATGTCCGTCGCTACGTCGCAGCATGTCGTACCTGCCAGACCACGAAGTTTTCAACACAACCACCGTCCGGACTGCTCCAACCTCTCCCCGTGCCATTACAAATTTGGGAAGACCTGAGCATGGATTTTATTACCGGGCTTCCGATGTCTAGGGGTTTGTCGGTTATACTTGTGGTCGTGGATCGCCTGTCCAAGTATGCATACTTTGGCGCGTTGCCGAGCGACTTCGATGTGCACCGCACCGCTTTTCTATTTGCGGAAATGGTTGTCAAATTGCATGGGATTCCTAAAACTATTGTCTCTGACCGTGACAAGATTTTCACCAGTACATTTTGGAAGGAATTGCATGCTTTGAGTGGCACCACGCTAAAGCACAGCACGGATTTCCATCCTCAAACGGACGGCCAGACAGAGGTACTTAACCGGACACTGGAGCAATACCTACGGGCTTTCGTTCACGCGAAACCTAAGCGTTGGACTATTCTTCTGCCCTGGGACAAATACTCTGTCAACACTAGCTATCATCCTGGGTTGCAGATGACGTCGTTCCAAGCGGTTTATGGTCGGGCACCGCCGGATTTGGTTCCATATACACGTGGATCTAGTCGCGTCCAAGCGGTTGATGATATCTTGGGCGAGAGGGATGCACTGTTACGCTAAATGGAATTCCATGTGGGTGATTTAGTATTCCTTAAGCTGCAACCATATAGGCAACACTCCGTCGTCCGGCGCTCGTCTCACAAATTATCCCTGCGTTTCTACTGCCCATTTGAGGTACTGGAGAGAATTGGGCCCGTGGCTTACCGTTTGAAGTTACCCGAGCCATCGCGCGTTCATCCCATCTTCCATGTTTCCGTGTTGCGTCATTTTCGACGAGGTACTAACACGGCCCCAACCTTACCTCTGCCGTTGGAATTGGTGGACGGCCAAACCCCTTCTGTCCCCGTGAAGGTTCTTGGCAGGCGGCGTATTTTGCGTCCTGGTACCCCCGTCGATCAATGCTTGGTGGAATGGAGTGACGGGGGGGTGGCGGACGCCACTTGGGAGCCGACCGAAGTTATCCACCAAAATTTCCCCACTCTTCACCTTGAGGACAAGGTGGTTTCTGATGGGCGGGAGAGTGTTATGGACTCGACACATCAAGAGGAGCCACCAGTTAGGAGGAGCGCACAGACCAGACAACCACCGGGGTGGCAACGCGAGTTCGAGATGCATTAGTTAATTACTTTACCTTATTTTATTATTTTTAATGTATCATAGATTTTCTTAGGTGAGCGAATTATAAGCTCCTTCGAGGGTTTCTTTACGGTTCTTTACCTCGTCGCTTTTCTTGAACCGTCAGGATAGATAACGTAGTTTAGGTATGGGGCTTACGTATTCTGTTTAAATAGGGACTCAACCCTCATATTGAATTATGAATTAAAAAACCCTAATCTTGCCCTAATCTCCTTTCTCCCTTCCCCAGCCGTATCTCACGGCCGTTTCTCCTCTCTCTCTTGTTTTTCTTCCTGTTGCGAGCTCGGAGACGCTCCAAGTCTCCCCTTCTCGATACACATACGTATCAAGAAAACCAATAACATTTGCTAAAGATATCACCATTAGATGGAATAGTACATACAAATTGATAACACATATTCTAAACTACAAAGAGGAACTTGCTGCATTTCTTAGGAAAGAACTTAGTTTTATGATTTTATTGAATGAATTTTTTATTGTTGAAAAATTGAATGTCGTATCAGAAATTTTTAATAACGCAATTCTTACTGTCTCGCATGTTTACCAACCAACTACAAATAGGTTTTTTAAAGAGTGTGTTACAATCGCAACATGTCTTCGTGAAAGTTTAGCTGATCCAGCTTTGTACCCCTATGTCTCTCCTATGAAAGATAAATGGTGTGCTTATTATTTGTACATTCCTAATATTTATAAAATAGGTATTATTTGTGATCCTCGCTTTAAGATTGAAAATTTTAAAATTCTAATTGACTATACTACACTTGTTTTTTAGATGAAAATAATTATTACTATAACCATTTAATAGAATGCAAAAAAGAAATAGATAATGCTATTAATCTTTTTTGAGGCTTTATTTAAAGAATTTCAAGGAACATACGGTAATGTACCGGAAGAAAAAGCACCTCCTCCGCCCCCCAAATCAAAAAAAGGTTTTAAAGGAATTGTCGGTGGGCTTTTGGCAAAAAAGGTAAGCGTGGTGAGCCTTTAACGAGTTCAGGTGGTAGAGTTGTAAGCTCGCAGAATGAACTTGTTATGTACCAAGGGGTGCCATGCAATTACGACGGTAACGACGACGTGGAGTTTGACGTCCTCGCATGGTGGAAGCGGAACGAATACACGTTCCCATATCTTGAAATGCTAGCGAAACAAGTTTTATCCGTCCCGGTATCAACTGTAGCTGTGGAACAAGAATTTGGTTCTAGCGGCAACATTCTAACTGACTACCAAAGTTGTCTTAGCGCTGAATCTCTTGAAACACTTGTTTGCAACCGAGATTTGCTTTTGGCGAGACGTCGAGCTCAATAGTCAGGGTACGAATTCAATTCTGAACATTACATTAATGCAACCACATATGGAAGCCTTAGTTTTGAGAAATAAGTTATAAACTTTTTTTTATTTTAATGTAAATATGTAATTATGTAAATAGTTTGTTAGGTGAGCGAGCGATATATAAGCTCGTTCGAGGGTTTCTTAACGATTCTTTTCCTCGTCACTTTTTTTGAACCGTCAAGGATATTAAATGTAGTTGTTCGTGTATTACTCATTTTACAATATTTAAATAACAACTACATTTTGATCTCTTATTCCATTATTTCCTTTAACAATTACACATTTACACTTTTAAATTTTTTTAAAAAGGGGGGTGGGGTTGCCGAAACCGGCTGGTACGGTACCGGAACCGCCGGTACCGTCTGACACGGTGACGGTAATGGTACTAAGGGGTGGCAGTACTGGAACCGTCCCGAAACCGTAGCGTATCCACCCCTACCTTAAAGTAGATTCAGGGGCAGCGCCCCTGAGCAGGGTTCAAGGGGCGGGAGCTCCTGTGGGGTCGAAGGGGCAGAACCCCTAGCAGGGGTCAAGCCAGCTCAGAAATTTTTTATTTTGGACACATACCTAGTCTTGTCAAATTTGAGCTTTATCTAATTGATTTTTGGATTGAACACCCAAAATAATAAATGTAAAAAAAGTGCTTCAAGACTCTCAAATTGATCCACGTTATCTTCGTTTTCTCCAACAAGTTCTATATTTTAATCTTAAAAAAACTCCGTATATTTGTATTGTAACAATATACCATTCTATATTGACATTTTATATAAATCCTGGTGGACCAAATTTTTGTAGATTCCAACATAATTCACATGCATCATAGTATCTAATGTGAGGCACAAGTTGGCGCCACACAGCAGTGCAACTAGTTAAATTATTTTCATTTAAAGCTAATAATTTAGGTTCTATTTTAGAAATAAAAGTGTTACACATGTTTCGAACATAAAGATTATTTTTAGTGATTTCATTTTTTCTAAGAAATTTTGTTTAGCGTGACAATGGGGGACACAACTCCTTTGTTTGAAAATGCACGGAGTACTAGTTTTGTCCCTAAATATTTATCCATTTTAACTTTTGTAATTAAATATTTTCAATCTTTGATTTATAATTAAATAAAATACACTCCGTATAGTATATTAATTAGATAAAATATTAGTTTAAAAATATTTGATAAAATAAATCTAATAAAATTATTTTTTATCAAAATCTAATATCAGATCACCTTAATTTAATTTATAGTCAAAGTTCGCCAAATTTCATCGAAAAAAAGTAAAAAATAGACAAATACGGTGGTATTTTTTATTTTAATTTCCATTCTCAAATTTAAAGTAAAATTCAGTCCATAATAGACATAAATAGAAAATATATAATATTTCAAAATAAATCTATATTATTAAATATGTTTATAAAACTATTTTTTCATATACTGTGATCGAGAGGGGTGTAATGTATGTATAGTGGGTTAAGCTAGATGTGTACTTCTTTGGTACTCCACTTGTACACTAGTGTGTTACAGGACTTACATAGACAACAATAGTCTATTCGCACATTCAGACAACTAGTGTTAATCCCGTGCTTTGCATGAGATCGTATATTGTTAGAATATATGAAACATTTCCTGAGCCACAACCACAAGCTTGACCTTTGGTTGAGTTAGTTCATTGACATGACATTGGAGCTTTGTTGACTAAGAGGTCACGGATTCGAAACTCAGGGTCACCCAGTTTTAAAAAAGTTAAGGTTTCATGTGCGAGGCTTGAAAAAAAGACTACGCTTGCACGTGAGGGGCGTGTTAGAATATAAGAAACATTTCCTTGGCCACAACTAGAAGCTTGAGCTTTTGGTTGAATTAGTTCCTTGACATATATACTCTAAATTTTTGAGATTCTATAAATATAATTTTAGTTGTTTTAGTTTTCTGATAGTGACAAAATATGTTTTAAACTGATGGAATATATATTGGTATGTTAATTTAAAAACAAACAAATTCTACAAAATTAATGGTCATTGAATTAAGTACTACTCCCTCTGTCCCATTTTAAATCGCCTGTTTTGACTTTGGGGCATATTTAAGGAAGAGAAAAAAATAGAGTTGACTATTTGAAATGGCCATTATTTTTTAGGAGAGGTGACGATGAGTGAGAAGATAATGTGGAGAAGAGTGACTTATTTTAGGGGTAGTTTAGGTATTTTACTCTTAAAAGTTTACGATAACAAGAAATATCCAACTTATTTTGGGATGAAAAAAAGTAAAATATGCAATTTAAAATGGGACAAAGGGAGTAATAAAAATAGTTTTAATTAATAAAATATTTTAATAAAAAATGGATTAATTACATAATAATACATCATTAGAGAATGTATATGTGTCATAATGCCACTTGCCAGTTGTCACCCTTTAATTAAACAAATTTTATTCTATTTACTTTGTTAAAAAACATATGTAGCAATAATATAAATAATGTAATAAGATAACATTTTTGAAACAAAGTATTTAATTAATAATTATGCATATGTGATTAAATTTATATCACCACTTTTTGAAAAGTAATAAACTAAAATAAGTTGTGGATACTATAAAAGTAATTATATATATATATATATATATATATATATATATATATATATATATATATATATATATATATATATGGAGTATATTTTACAATGGTGAAATATATATTTATAGAATTATTAAAAATTGAAAAAGTTTTATACAAATGTATTCAAAGATCTTTTAACAAATCTAAATGGACCAATGAATTGAAATGCATATATCCACCTCATTAGTGAGTGCACATTTGAATGCACATGTGGCATGCCACATGTCAACACTACAACAAATGAACTCTACTATACATATATACTAGTGTTAACCACGTCCTTCGCACGAGCTCATATGCATTCTAAACTTTTGACATTCTATAAATATAATTTTGTTTATTTTAAATGAATATTATATTTTTTCACTCTAAGATATATGGAGTATATTTTTTAAATAAAAAGTATACTTTAAATATTGATGTACATGTACTAAAAATTCTATAACTATTTTATCTATACTATATACAAAAGCAAAAGAATTGAGAAACAAAAA